TAGCTCTACTCATCTAATTGTATATAATGACAATGAGGGATTCTATTCTATTCTATTCTAGTGTGTGTTTTCCTCTTGATAAAAAGATTGATTAGTAGCAGTCAGTGTTAAAATGTGTTTCTGGAGGATTGACCCGTACAAAGCTGAACTGTTGATAGCATAAACACTAGGGCCACCTGAATTCCTGCTGTAGTGGATGACACTGAAAGTTTTATACCTTGCAGCATGGGTGGACATTTGTGTGTTTGGCCTTTATGTACGACCATGTATGTGCGTATATTCATCCTGCATTTATGTGTGTTTATGTGGCTGCAGTAATTGTCCGGGTGTGAAGTCGTTTAGTGGGTTCGTTTCCAGGTTTAGTTTTTATGAGATGGTCTGTTTGCTGAAGCGACAAGCAGCCATTGTTACTGCACATTTCCACAGATGCTGGCTGCCCAATTACCCTGCAATCACATGCATGGCCAGACCCAGGCACTGGCTAACGTAATGGGCCGACACTCGGTCAGTAAATCTGCAATCACCCGCTCATGCAGGCACATGTCCTCTTGGTTAATAACACTTCTGAGAGCACACGCAGAAAGGGGAAATACCACAGCTGTTGCACAGATAAACCTTTTTTGTTGTAACTTCATTATGGGGAGTACTCACTACCAGCATTTATTTTTGACCTCAAGGTTAGGTTCCCCCAAAACTGTTTCTGATTTTAACATTAAAATACCCCTTAATTGCCAAAGGGATTGTTGCTGTTTAGCGATGCACATTGTGGGCCATGTGTATAGAAAGAAAGACAAAAACACATAAACAAATAGAAAAATAATAAATGAAAGCAGACGATGCTGTATTTTATAAAGTCATTTTAGGGCATTATTGTTTCTTTCTGTTTATACCACTGGCACAAATAATCTTGCCCTGCCATTGCACTTAAAACAACTTTAAGTGTAATTACTTCAAACACTCAGTCAAGGATAACTTTCTGTTAGAAAATCAACTTTTAATGCTGCTAAAAAGCATACAAGTACATAGCATGCATGGTACAAAGACACTTAAATAAAACATAAATATTGATTCAAAGTCATAGATCCCAAAACCAGCACAATTTTACAGTACAATAAAAGGGACACAGAGAGTGTTGTTGCCTGTGTGTTCAGTAAGTAGGAAACCCATGTGTGTTGAGTTCATGATGGCTTTATTGTGCCTATTGCACAGCTGACCCTCCAAGTTCTTTGATGTCATAGTCCTGAGATAGATAAGATGTATTTCCTAAATGTGTTTTGCTGTTTACCACTTATCACAATGTATTGACCATAGTAGAGTTTTTATCAAATTATAAACCCATCAAGTGTTCTCTCTAGAACACTGTAAAATACAACAGTTGAATATTTAAAAAGTAAAGGTGCTGCAAGTTTAACATGTGTTTGAAATACAATTTAAAAAGTATTAAACTACACTAAACCAGCTAGATGGTTGGACAGTTCAAGAGTTTAAAAAACATGTTTGAGATTAAATACCAAATCAAACGTTGTACAATTGTACAACAACTAATATATTTGAAGGATTTACAATGGGTGTTTTAAACATAGACCAGTTGTTTTTGGTCAGCAACTTACAATTCCATACCTCGCAAGAAAACATAAATACTAATGAACCTTTAGTATGATCTTTGTGTCACTTTAACTATCAAATCACTTTGAAGCAAAAGTGGTGTCAGCCTTTATTTTGGTGGTTCCTTCATGTCATTTGCTGAAAATGGAAAATTGTATTTTTATACAATTGTACATTTAGTTTGCAATCATAGTAACACAAGTAATACCTTAAACCGTTTTTAATTCCTGTGACAGTAATGCAGGGTCCCACGTGAGGAAAAGGTACACCCNTAGTGAACAAACTTATCTCGTGCCCTCATTGGTCATGTGCGCATTTGTGTGTGTTGGAGGAGGGGCTCTGTAAGGAAGTCTGAAGGAAGGGGCAGATTTTTTTCGGTTGTGTAATTTCAAATTCTAGCTTACTCGAGCTGGTTTCTCCATTCTTACCTACCCTGCCTTTAACAGTTTGAAAAAAATGTCATCACAGCAAAAAAACAATAGATAATGGAGGAGGAATTATGCCTTTTAAACCCCCTTAAAAAACAGCATCCAAACATAACATAGGATTTATGTTAAAGAACGTGGGATTTACTGTCTTGTCTGCCTACTGTGGTACTGAATCTGCTTCCAGAATTAGAATTTCACTGATATTTGTATGGCCCACTACATTTCTGGTATGGTGACATCCCTACTTTTAATACATATTATACATGTCAATTATGTGACAGGTGTTTTTAAGACTGATTGTTTGCAAGCATGTTGACAGGATAAGTGTTCTCAACTTGCACTTGGACTCTGAATCTCTCGTAAAATGAGTCTCTGAGATTGCAGAGAAAAGAGACACATGCAATCAGTAGGCTGTATGAAGAATCTAACTGTCTGATTTATTTGAAACATTAACATACAGTTCACCTGTTCCAGTGACCAGGAAACACAAATGTGTGAGCAGCAGGAGGATAAAAAGAGAGAATTTATCAAAGTGCAACACCCGTGACAGAGGTGCAGTATAAAAACATGTTGTGTCTAATTAAGTCAACGCTGTAAAGCACTTTACTAGCTCTTAAGTATATCATTTCAATTCTGTGTCACAGAGTATCGGTGAACAACAAATGTATGTTTTCAGTATTTACTTACACAATATTTACCTTACAATTGAAAGAAAGGCTGCTATATTAGCAACAGGCACCCTCTTTTTAGCAATCAGGTCTGGATTAAGCTGCAAGCTTTAATATTAGAAAGGACATTCATGCACTTACAGGATAGTGCTAATCCCAAGCTGCAGTCGAAAACGTCATGTCAAAGAAAAGATGTAAAAGGAGAATTTATCAGGACTTTAGAAAATTAAATGTAAATCTCTTACACATTGGCAGACAGTTGTAGTTTTTTAAAACTTTTATAACACTCAGAAATTAAGTGTACAGTGACTAACATACTGTACATGTAAAGTGAGTATTCCTGTCCAACTACAATAACACCTGCTAAGATTATGTTTTTAATGTATTCATAGCAGGGTACAATTAAACAGCAATGGTGTATGTAATTTACGCCCGCAAGGTGTTGCTGCCACAATGAATTGTGGGAAATAATTATCTACTTTCTTTTGGAAAAGGATGGATCACTGTACCATATGCTAGAAGTGATAAAAAAAAACGGTATAATTGAAGCACCTTTCCTTAGTTTTTTTAAGAATTCGAACATCCCTTATTCATATCACTTAGATATTTCTGGGTCATTATGGTTAGGATGCTTTCTAGACAAAAAAGACTGCAGCCCCAGTGTGCTGTGTATTCAGTCCATTTGACAGGCTGATCAGCACCTTGGACAGAGCTTTTAACATTCCCTTAGCACAGGGGTCTGCAACCTTTTTGACCAAAAGAGCCATTTTGCTCCTTTTTCCAAAAAAAAGAATTGTCTGGAGCCGCAAAACATATTTCATAGCTTGATAGCTAATAAAGTTGTATTTATTGTTATATCAGACAAAAACTACAGTTTTTTTGCATTATTAGGCTATTTATTACGTTATATAAAACTGTTAACCTCTAATAAGAAACAAAGAACTCCTATAAGGATAATTAAAAATAATACATAGGCCTACTTTAAAATAAATTAAACACAGCACTTGGGGAGTCCTCTGCACATTTGAAGGAAACAAATATATAATTAAAATTTGCCCACTTTGAAATAAATAAAACATATAGCTGCACCCTAAAAAGAGTTAAAGGTAGGGTAGGTAAGAATGGAGAAACCAGCTCGAGTGCGCTAGAATTTGAAAATACACAACCGGAAAAAATCTGCCTCTTCCTTCAGACTTTCTTACAGAGCCCGTCCTCCAACACACACGAACGCGCACATGACCAATGAGGGCACGAGATAAGTTTGTGCACAGATGGAAGGCTGACAGGCAGGTAGGCCATCTAGTTATTTTTCCCGGGCCGGCTCAGATGATTGGTCGTGCTTTTTACAGTACTACGGCTTCCACAGATTAATTTGTTTATGTATTTATTGTCAAAGCATTTAATATATTCATTGCTATCGGGATGTTAAGAGCATTCCATGGAATATAACAAAAAGTGTTTCTGAAATAAATTACATACCCCACTTAATAGTCAGCTGTGTTCCTCTGAAGATCGTTGTTCCTCGATACGTAAAGGATGCAGCACCGTTGACAACTTCTCTCTACATATAAAACATACCGGTAAACCAGCATCGTTTGCTGTGAAAGCATATAACTCTATCCAGGCAGAATTAAATCCTGTGTTCCTCCGGTACTTTTCTTTGATTTATCCATAGTTCGCTCATCGAGCCGGGGGTCAGGTTATTCACCCGCAGGAAAAGGCGCTGGCGTGGGACCGTAGCAGGATGTGACGCATATTTTAGCTGACCCAATTAAAACAGTTTTGTTTTTTATTTATGTGTCACAGTATCACCTCAAAATACAAGACACGAAACATTTGCAACCATGCAACAAAATATAAATAGTCCTACAAATACTTTTATTTTATTTCCTTCTTATTTTGTGTAAGCTCAAGTGAGCCAGAGCAGAGGGCTTCACTTGAGCTTACACAAAATAAGAAGGAAATAAAATAAAAGTATTTGTAGGACTATTTATATTTTGTTGCATGGTTGCAAATNATCAATATTTACATCATGTGTCTGGGCAGCAATATCTTGCAATATCTTGCTAAAGGACCGTGTAAGTTATACTTGGTTCTTTTCCTGTAGGGTCAGTATCCAAATCAATAATTGTCTTCACCACATACAACAGGAACTACATACGTTCGACATAGCTCTGTTTTAGTGAACTTCATTAAACAGATATAGCAACACTTTTGATACAACATATTGTACCTTTCCCATAGTTCTTTGAGACAATATTTTAAATTGTGTGTATGTATGTATCTTTGTTTTGCAGACCGAGTGTGCCAACTTTGTTCGCCTTCTGCAGCCCTACAACCGCACCCACCTCCTGGCCTGTGGCACCGGGGCTTTCCAGCCCATGTGTGCCTTCATCAATGTGGGGCACAGAGGAGAGGTAAGCCGGTGTGAAGCAAGAGTGTTTGTATGTGTGTGTGTGAGGGGGAATTGAGGGATGTTCATACACCAGAACATAAACCCACAAAAAAATAACATTATACAGTACCTGACAAAACAGTAAGTATTTATAAAATGTGATATACTGTTTTCACATTTTTTTTGAGGACTTATAATTTATACTGTACTGCAGAAATCTGTCTCCATTTCCTGATGGAAATGCTTGAAAGCTGTGAAAAAAAAAGAAGTGACTATAAGGTCGGTTAAGTACTTTGTCACTCCTTAACAAGAATGTACCAGTGTCATTGCTCTACTTTATATTAACACTTACAAAGTGCCATTGGAAACTATGAATATAGATCTCAACTGACAGCATGAACATGTTTCCAACCACACAATAAAATCAAGTCCAATTTCACTATCATTTTCTGCTTTTGTCTCCACCACCTAGTGAGAAAACAATATTTGGTAGCTAAATGGTTATATATTCACCAGCAATCATGTAATTATGGCTAACTGTTTTTGCTGTTAGGTTAGTACAGTGAAAAGTTAACTTATATTTGGGGGAAACGGCTCCTAAGTGGATTTATGGTTTATGGGGTATTATTGAAAGCTGCTGGACTACACAGAAAATGTGCGGACCAGAATACCAAAACAATGCACTGAAAGAGTTTAAAAACTAAGATGATCATTTTCTGTTGGGTCAGCATTGTAAGAAAATATTTTACACTAAACAGAGACATTACGTTTTATGTGAAAAGGAGAACAACGTTTTGCGCCTGGCATGCACTTCAGGGCTGGACAGCCACTATAAACACTCTGGCAGTTAGGCTTTTATGATTACATTTAGTGTCATGTTTAAATCAAATATATTGCTGAATGACGTTTAAAGTGTTTCTGTAACACCAGACAAGTTAGTACTTAGTAAATCCATGCTGACTAAAGTGAATCCAAAGTTAATAAAAGTTGAGAAATTTACGAGGAATGGCTGTCTAACTAGTTTTCAGCCATAAAGAAATGTCTGCATTATATTGCAGTAGTGAGACATTATGCCACTGTATCATAAAACATATGAAGAATTGTTCATATGATATGATAAGGAATCAATGGGTGGCCTGTAAGCTATCCTGTGGAGGAGCCCAAGGTAATGGAACAAATATGGTAGGTGCCAAAACACAGCTCAGAATACTGTCCGTGCCCAGATCCCCGGGGTTCAAGGTTAAGCCTCAGCAGGCATTCCCGCCATGAGTCTTTCTGTAGGGCCACTCAGCCGCAGCCTACGGTCCTCTATACATCTTTTCAACCTCACAGGCAGGCCCTCTGTGAGCAACTCAGCTCAGTGGGACCCTCTGCTGAGTCTCATACTTGGAGCCATTTGAAAGACAAGAATCAATGAATAGAGCTATTAAGAAAGACTCGTAGATCCCTGTTCCATGGCGGTTCTCCAGAACGCAGCCCAGTGTGCCGCGCTGCCTGGCCCAGCAGGGGGGGGTGGGGTCAAACTGGGCATGAGGACAGAGAAAAGCTAGATCCTGGCAGGAAGGGAAATTAGACTTTTGGGTGGGAGAGTGCCAACATTTAGTCAGAAGAGTGTGTGTATGTGGGTGCACTTTAAGTACAGAAGGTGAATTGCTGTTTTTTTGTTTTGGGTGGGTTTAGTTGCTTGTCAGTGTGTGTGCCATTTTCTGCCTCTCTGTTCCAATCTGTCATCCTCAGTGTGGTTTTTGGACGATGGGTTGTATTATAAATCATGATCAAAAGTTCACGTCTTCCTCTGCCCGTGCGGTTCACTTTAAGCCTATACAATATACAGTGGTCTGCATGGTTGAGAACACCAAAAACGTCAATTGGGAATACAAAAGTCAGTGATATAGTGTCCAGGATTTTTTTCGTAAACCACTTGAACTAATCAACGACGGGCAACCTATCAAACCCTATATGTATTTGGGTTGTGTTGCACTGATTCAGTAAATGAGAGTGGGTTTGTGAAATGTTTAGGTTGGCCGTGGACCTCGCTCACAAATGTCTGAAGGTGCAAGATGAAAAGACTAAAATAGCATGCACAGGTTTCAGGTAGCGGTGGGACCAAGTCATTTTCTTCGCATGTCAAGACCAGACAAATCCTGAGTCAAGTCCTGAACTTTGAGATTTGTCATAATCCGCTCTTTACGAAATCAACCCTTTTTGCAGTTGGCAATTCGTTTTAACACTGCATCATTTTTAACTGCCATCTTCGGTATAATTTATTCCAGCTGTCATTTAGAAACGTTATTTTACGTCTTCATTGTTATCTCATTCCACTTTATGTCATCTTGGTTCCAACAAAGATGATCTTGGGAATTTAGTGCTGACTTGCCAAGAAAGTATAGTGTTAGCGTTAGTTGATTCAAGAAATGTTGGGTATGTTTTCATTGGTTTGGAGCAACCCATAATCTCCATAAGTAATGGAGTTTTAGTCATGAATGTTGAAACCCTTCAGTTGTTGTCTAGCTTATGACGGGGAATGTCCCAAAGCTATCACACATTGCAGAATTGGTTTTATTTGCCCCAGGGATCGCCGTTTGTATCTGGCATGCTCAGGTGTGCATGAAACGACTCCGAGGTTATGTCAGCTGTACTGTATGTGTGTTAAAACTCAAAACGCCTCACTGTCCTGACTGATGTTCAGATACCATTTGTCCTCCAGCTTGTGTGCGAGTGTCTGTGAGAATGGACGACACTACAGGGAGCCTGTCCATTTATTTAGGCAATCGTTAACTGGTGGAAAATACACACACGTCTGTTTTTCTGACCTCTCGAGGGAACCCAGACCGCGAGCCCTCGGACTGGACTCTGGGTGGGATGACCTTTGACCTTCTAGGTGTTTCATCTCAGTAAGGGGCAGACAGACACAATCTTCATGTCTCTCACATGCCACCTCTCTTGGTCTTGGGTTTGTATTGTTTGTAATGTTACGCAAAACCTTAAAAAAGTAGCACAAAAAACAATATGATTGGGCTCGTTTTACACCAGCTAAGTTGAACTGAAGAAAGGTTTCTTTTATGGTCAGCAATCCTCTGAAACAGTTGTTGGAACTGTTATTGTTCTCTAGTGTCAGCTTACAGTATATTAACTTCATTTCATGAAGAGAAATTGACATTGATGTTGAAAAGTGCATCAGTAGTTCATATTCAAAGAATTCTGGGAGGACGAAAAGTACAATATTTCCGATTCACCTAAACTATTTTGTTGTTTAAGATTGAAGAAAGGAGTCTCCATGTTGTATTTCCTTTTTTAAGTGTGATAACAATGTGTAAATGTTCATATGTTTGCGTAATCAAGATGAACACCATGTGATAATTAATTTAATGGGAGTCTTGAGTCTAAGTGTTTCTGCCTCACTTCGTCTTTCTAACCCCCCCACGCACACACACACACACACACGCACGCACGCACGCACGCACACGCGCACACACATACACACATACAAAAAAACACACACACATACACACACACACACACTGGACTGCCAATGGTGAGTGACACAGCTGCCTGAGCAGTGTCATAGGTATACAAATAATAAACCACCATAGTACAGTGACGACATACAGAGGACTAGACCCCACATACACACATAAACATTAATATACACACACACACTCAAACTAAACAAATGAAACAAACTCGAACATATAAATATGTAGTGACACAGACAGAAACACACACAAACACGATGAAAGACATGCATAGTCAAGCATGACTATAAATATATGGAAGTAAAAGTGGAGAGAGGCACACAGATTGAAACACACACAGCAAAGCAGATATTTTAAGAGAAATTGCTGAACACAGACAATGAACACACAGATAGCCGACTGGCATCCTCTATATAGTTTCATAATGTAGACCTAAAGCAGTTCAGATGCTTTTTTTTCTTGTAAAAGCCCACATTTACTCAGCAGTTCTGCTTCTTGCTACTCAGAAAGTCACTCGCAGAGTTACTCACTTCCTCTCACCATGATGGCAGAATTCCACGACAACCTCTGTAAGTGCTACGGGACACTTTTTAAGTCCTTCGGGGGAGAAAGCTATTCAGCAGAGCCAATACTGCAGGATTAAAGTGGATAAAAAAGCCGACCCAAAAGATTTAAAGTATAATAAAAAATGAATTATTTATAAATCACAGATTTATTTTTCCTATATTTGTTGCCTTTGGGTAAAAGCTTTCAAACTTGAGATGAATAGATTCTTATTTTACATCGTCATCTTTTTCTGTAGTCTTTGCTCAATTTCTAGTCCTTGCTATTTGTTATTATATTATTTTGTGACAATTTGTTTGACTTTTTTCCCCTCCCTACAAAAACTATAATTTTAAAACAATATATATTTGTTCTTGTATACCTTTGAATGCACAAAGTAACTTCTGGAGTGGTTGTATCTAGCCAGCGGACAATCCAAACAACAAGAGCAGGAAAGCAGTTACCAGAAAAGACAAAGCAAGATTTATTTGTAAATGCCACTTTGTCTTGTGACTGGGTGTATTACATTGAACAAGTGTTTCTTTAATCATCTTTGTATGAGGAAAAGTGTGTTTTCATTTCCCTTTAAGGCAACTCAAATCGAGTGAAGATGGTGGCCATTGTTAGGTTTTGATTTTAGAAAATGGTATGGTCATATAATGGATAGTTTAGAGGCTCGTGAATGGAAAGACAGTAATTGAAGTTTGCCACAAGTTGACACAATTATGCATGCAGATGTGTCAGTAGTCACTTATCTAATTTGTGTTGTAGAGGCGCTGCTGATGTATCTTGCTTGGCACAGCCGAGTACAAAGTGGCCTGGATGTCTTTTCTCTCTCCATGTACAGCAGCACTTTTGTGTATTTATCTTGGCAGAGTTTGGCCAAAGCGATTTTGACAGAAAAATCTGCCGCACCGACAGGAAGCCACAGCATTCCAACGGATCATTATGAGATAACACAGACACACACACAAACGGCCCCATTTTGATGCCCTAAAGATTGTTGCTAATAATCAAATAAGTATGTGAACATAACCAATAACCTACCATAGCCAATAACAAATAAATGTAACTTGTTTTATTTTTGTTGTTCATTCATATCTTATTTTACTTATAAACATTTATTTATTTATGCATATTTTTTTATCTCTCCAGTTTTAAACAATATTTTTGGTTTACTGTACTATAGTATACATTGAAATGAAGTCAAACCTGTTTATCCCGATAATTATAAAGGAGTGCCTTGTAAATTGTGATCAAAACGTTTGAGACCCACTGAGATAACTTAGACTAAAGTTAACTATCTAAAACACTCAGAGTCCTTAACCTCACTGAGCCTCTCAGTCTGACAGGAGAGAGCTCTCCTCCACCCTGGTTGTGGAAACGTCTTCTTCTTATATCCGTTAGAGCAGCTAGCACCAGATGCTAATAACAACAGCGCCGGTACCGGTGTGCCTTCTCTCTCTCCCTCGCTCGCTCCCACGCTCACTCACACTTTGGCTGTGAGCTGCGGGCGCCTGATAAGCCAACATCCCCCACTTTCATCACTTACAGCGCCCATCGTACAGGGCAAATGAAAAGTGTAACCGGGGTGAAAAGGGTGTTACCTTGACTTAATGTTGTTACATCAAGGCCGAAAATTAGGATGAGCACCAACGGTCAAAAATGTTTTTTCCCCCCCCAGATCTGGCGCTCTAGGCGACCGCGTATGTCGCCTATGCCAAAAACCGGCCCTGAATATATTGTATAAGATTGTATAATGTTGGACACTGAAGTGTACGAGAACACATGTACGAACGTTCAGAGAGAGATGAAGTGATGTTAACTTCCGTTACAAAAAAGTGAATACGTGTTGAAAAGAATAAGGATGATTAAAGAGTGAAGTAATATACCCTGGTAGAGAATGAGATGGAGAGCAGATGGAAATAAGAGTAGAAAATTCAAGATAGAGAAAGAATGAAAACGATAACATTCATGTGAGAAGGAAGGGAAATGGTTTAATGGTCGACAATAAACCCAATGAACATTGATATACCTCAAGACCTTTTTATGGTTCAGTTTCGCTATGAGATAAAAACAATGTGTTAGTACAGAAGCTATCATCTTCGTCTTGCATGTCATTTGTCAGTAGATGCCATTTTCTTTAAATGGAGCATTTGAAACTAAGGAAATACATGTGGTACGACTTTAAAATGGATGTATAAATAATCAAACCGTGAGTGAAGTGAAAATGACAAAATAAATCCTCATAAATTACCTTGATTTACTGGCCTGGAATGATGTAGGGCAAGACAAGATTCAGAGTTCTTTAAAAAAAGGCCTCATCATATCAAATGTAATGAAGTGTGATGGTATGCATAAGCAATGTGTGTGCTGGTGGGCTGTACATTGCACTTTGAAACCTGTGAAGCTCATTCAAACCTACTTAGAAACATTCAAAACGCTACATGTGGATATAATAAGAAATTAACTGTCTCTCTTAATTTCCTGAGACCAGTTGGACATGCCACTATATATATAATCTTTTAGTGTGTTCCTGAGACTTAAACTTTGCCGTATCCATGTTGCTCAGCACGAGTTTGAGTGCACGTACAAAACTTAATGTGCGTGGGAGTGCGTATTGTCCACTGTTTTTGTCCTGCTGACTTCAATGTCATCATCTCCCCAGTGATCTCCTTCCAAAGAAAGACTCACCCACCCAGTAACAATACTCCATTGTCTGCAAGGGGAACAGAGAGTCCCCCACACACACACAGTTCACTGTAAGGACATTTAAATCAGTAATCACACAGGACGTCTTGCTGTAGGTCCTGTCGCCTTCCATTCCTTTTTTTCTGGAAAGTCTACTACTTTTGGACTCGCATTGATCATGCCCAGCAGCCTGGTACCCAGATGTCGCAGACCTGGGTGTAGAGAGGCTAAAAACAAAAAGGTCCTTTGTCCACAGTGACCCTGTTTCGACCTGGCAAATCACACAATCCAAGGATGTGGCCAGTGTTTGTCAGGTGAACACAACTCCCTGGTTAATGACGACAAAGGAACCGCTGTGTTACTTGTAGTTGTCTACTTGCTCCTGTCCCTTTTTTTAACCTACATTTTATTTTTTCATTGATTATTCTCAGTTTCTTATCTTATTGTTGCTTGCTGCTGAAAACATCACTTCCTGTGCAGCTCAACATTGTTTCTTGGAAAAACAAAACGTGGCGCTCCTCAAAGCAAACAGAAAATGGACTCAGGAATCTGCTATTGGTTCTGTAAAGTTGGCGAGATGTAGGGAAACCTTTTTACATGTAAATGTCATGGATTATGGCTTTATATATTTACTTGGTCAGTTAGGGCCCAGTATGTGTTGAGTGAGTTTTATGACACTATGGGTCAGGAAACCTGTTTTCACTTGAACTGTCAGAATTAGTTTTAGTATTTTAGCTGTAATTTTTATGTTATAATTTATTTTTTCTTTGTCACCCTGCTGGCTCCGGCTCTCTGGATTAATCTGCACTGGAAACAATGTGTGACACTTTTTGACAGAGCTCTGGCAGCTACGATGATCCTGCATTTTCCGTTTCTCAGACAGCGTCTTAGTTCTCAGACAGACATGAAGTTCAGTTGAAGGACAAATATATCTAAAATACCAAAACAGCCTGCTTTGAAACATATTGTCTTATAGACCACATGCAAGAATTAATGATATTAATCCATGTTTCTTTCTTCCACAGCATGTGTTTACCATGGATCCTACGAATGTGGAGAATGGACGAGGGAAGGTTCCACATGACCCCAGTTACCCCTTCGCTAGCACCTTCAGTGGTATGTCCCATGCTGTTTTCCTTTATTTCTAAAACGTTTCTCAATTGGTTTATTGGGTGAATATGGCTAAGGAACCATTTTCCACAGGTCATTTGGCCTATAGTTGGTACCATTTTATTGAAAAATGGTTGCACCCCTTTTTCCTCTTCTTGTTTCCTGTCTGCCCGAACTCTAAAAGTAAAAGCAAAAATCCTATAAAAAAAACACTTCGAACACTTAACATATAAAATCCTAAAATGTTGTTGTTATACCCTATTTTCCGAAGACTTAAATAAGAAATTCACAAGTTATTGCAGTCAAATTAAAGTTGGCCTTTTTGTACCTTATCTGCCACATCTAATTATGTAAAATGACCCCAGCTTCTTCTTCGCTAGCACCTTCAGTGGTATGTCCCATGCTGTTTTCCTTCATTTATAAAAAGTTTTTCAATTGGTTTATTGGGTGATTATGGCTAAGGAACCTTTTTCCACAGGTCATTTGGCCTCTAGTTGGTAGCATTTTATTTCCTGTCCACCCTAACTCTAAAAGTAAAAATCCTACAAAAAAATGTCGGTGTGATATCACTACTCTATTTCCCAAAGTCTTAAATAAGAAATTCACAAGTTATTGCGGTCCAATTCAAGTTGACCTTTTTGTACCTTGGTATACTTTATCTGCCACATCTAACTATGTAAAATATCAAACACACATGGTCTGTTTTGTACACGTATCCCCTCTCTGCACAAATCTCTGCTTTGTTTTAAAAAATAATAACCTAAAGAACAGGAACTATGACCTGCTTTGGCTCTGGCACACGCACCCTCTGGAGCTGTGCTGAGTAGGTTAAATAGTTCTGGGTGTTTCTCTCTGAATGTCATTAGGTATTTGGTTTGTGAAATATAGTTGATTTATTCCAGGGATCCTGGGAGCCTCTGAGGCAGGAGGTGTATCAGCCCTCTATCCCAGCTTCCTCTCTCTGCAGCTGCTTTGAGCATCAGAACTTATCCCACAACGCATCGTGTTTGGCAGGAAATCATTCAATTAGAGCCAAACACTCACGCAGTTTAGACCCCAGTAGAGAAATTCAACACATGGACAAAAGACAGAACAATACTGGAACATCCTTAGGCCCGCAGAAGTGTATTGTAGATAACTAAAAGACAAACGAAATTTTGGGAGGGATTGGATTTTTTTTCAGTTCAAATATAAACTTTCAAAACAAAGAATGTGTAAACGCTGACTCGGCAGATTTGTTGGCCTTGTCAAAGTCAGCAAGGTTTTGTAAGATGATCGGAACTTTGGAATTTAACCTCCTTAAAGGACTGCTATATTCAGGATTTCTGTTTCCGTCTCTGACCGTGAACACTGACCTCTCTATAGATTTCCTCTCTTCAGGGATCAATGGAGTGCAAAAGGCAGATACTGTAGAAAAGATACACGAGTCGACAAAAATAGAGACACAGGCATAAATATAGAGCTTAACCAAAAAAAAAAGAATATCATAAAAAAAGGAAAATAGAGAGTCCAAGAAAGAAACAGTAAATGATAATTAATCAAGTAAATAATGATTTCCTCTTCTACATTTCAGGATCCTCTCCCAAAAAACACAAAGCTGTCATTACCAATTTTAGAATCGATTGTGTGAATATGACTGTATGTGTGTTTTAGTTTTAAGGTTAAAAAAGGAGTGTGTGTGTGTGTCTTACTAATGCCTATTTATTTTTCTAGTGCCGTTTTTTCAGCTTGATAAGATAAACATCATTCACACCAATGAGATCACCGTCTGTAGTCAGATGTCTTGCTTCATTGGGCACTGTGTTGGGAAAAATGAGGCTTTCACTCATATCCCTAATAATTCTTCATTATGTGATTGGTGTTTTAGGGATTTCCGTCTTACCGCTAGCTAGGGTTGCTTTCTTTTCTAATGACGGATTACCCTGGCTGCTTTAGGTTTTTCCAAGGTTTATTTACTGTACTGTATATGCTACAGGAAAGATTGTATATCTTTAGGCCGGAAAATCTATGTTCTGAGTTGCTGAAATTTAAACTGAGTCTATGCTTATGGTCTCTGTGGAAGATGTAATGTACGTGTTTGAGTTTCAGATTACTCTCCCGGTGTGCTTTGAATTGGTTTCATTTCAATTTCCTCTTTCCTTCCATGCTTCATTTGCTTCCGCTGCAAATCATGTTTTCTGTCACCCATGATTTCCCTATTGTAATTATGTTCCAATCTTTTTATTTATCCCTAATCCGTTTCCTTTATTGCTGCTGTTCTTTACTCTGATGTATTGACCCTTCTTCTCCGTCTCCCTCCACCTCTGTCATTGCCTCTCTTCAGGTGGGGAGCTGTATACTGGACTGACGGCAGACTTTCTGGGTAGGGACTCTGTGATATTCAGGAGTATGGGAGGTCGCTCCACCATGAGGACAGAGACTGACCAGAAACTTCTCCACGGTAATGCTTCACTGTTTAATCAACCTCTTCCATCAATCATGGCATCTTCATCCCTTTGCTCAGACCACATGTATTCTCTTCTTTAAATAGATTACTTTAATACTAACGTCCATGTCTCTTCTTCCTCTGCAGACCCTAAGTTCATCGCTGCGCACCTCATCCCAGACAATGATGACAGAGACAACGACAAAGTGTATTTCTTCTTCACTGAGAAGGCCACGGAGGCAGGGGACAGGGAGGGGGCCATACACACACGTATTGGACGAGTGTGTGCGGTGAGATACTTTATAAACACTTCACAGTAAACACATTTACTTTGCGACCTGGTGGTGTTTGCATTAAGTCTGCAACAGGTATCTAGCCATGCAGATACTTTTACGTATCAAAGTTATTATTTAATCTCTTACCGAGCCTTGTGCTGTCAGAAATGACACATAACTAAACAGAAGGTGGAGGAACTTCTGCAGTATGTAAATGAAACCCAATCCGTTATCAGTTATAGAAAATAATGAAATACCCCACTTGTACCAGTAACATAATATAATCAGAAAATCAGGTTAATACGGGTATGCCGGAAAAGATTGAGAGATGATCTGTTGTCAGGTGGGGATGAGTGAAGCCAGATGGTCAGGTGAGTCACGTAATGCTATTCCTCATGGCCTGACAAATATCCAGTCCAATATATGAGACATCTGCAGGCGTGTTTCATTTGAAGAAGAAGTTATAATCTGGGAGTCTAAGAGTCCTTCTGGGCTCATTTGTTTTCTGGAGAATTCCGTTGGTGTTCCTAAATATCCAATTTCCACCCATGCTTTCAGTCTGATGATATTCACACTCTCACTAAAGTCCAATGGACGAAAAAGTGATCGAAAAATACATTTCATGGGTTTATATTTTTTCCCTCCTTGAAAGAGACAAATGTCTTTTGGAGCAATGACATGTTAACATTTTCCCAATGGACTGTGAAGGAATCATGATATTCAGAATCATATGAGTTCTTTCTCCTCCTAAAGCTCATACAGCTGTCAAATAGGCCAACTGATCCCCGTCTGCTCTGCACGCTCTCTCAAATTCTTTCACGCATTGATATGTCTTGGAAAACCATATGTGTGCTGCATGCACCATACACAGAAATAAGTATGATTAGAAAGAATACGCACACACACACACACACACACACACACACACACACACACACACACACACACAGCTATAGGATTTCCTTAGCGTCTGTTTGACTGTGCCAGAAAAGTTTGCCAACACTTCTCGTACAAAATCCCACCTAAACCTTCAAATTATAGCTTTATTTGTCATCCTCCTCTCCCTGTATCCTACTCCTCTTTCTCTCCGTCTGTCACTCATTCTCTCCCTTCACACATTATGTTATTTTCTCCGCAGCACTCTTTTCCTCCCTCAGGCAAATCTGAATAGTTGTCTTCACTTCCCCAGTGGTACTCGTGCCAAGAATCTCATTATCACCGCCGATCCCCATCTCACACTCACCCTCCCTCGTGAAGTATTGCACACTAATTCTCTGCAACAGACAAGCGACTGTGTTCTACAAAAGGTTTAAAAAGGCATACTTGAGTGTATCCTGGTTGTGTACAGAAGTATTAGTCTATTGTTAGGTAGTGTAGGTTTTGTCAGTGCCAAAATATTTGAAAAGAAAACAGTGATTACAAGATTTGAGTGCTGACTTTCATCTTTAATTTGATGGCTTTAACTACTTAAATCGGATATACTGTACAGCTTCAAGTCATTTATTTGTAATCTTTCAACAAATCAAAAATGTGTATCAAAGGGCTTTATAATCTGTACAGTATCTGTCTTTAGACCCTAGATTTTGGATTAGAAAACGTCTCTAAAAAAGCCTTTAATGTGAAAACATTTAAAAACCACAGGAATAGGTAGTGAAAACCATTTTGCGTTCAGTCTGGTCAACAACATTCTTTTATTTCGGTTTAGGTTCATGTTCTGGCTCCATTCTCCTAAGGGGACCATGTACAAAAATAAAATCCAGTCCTGCACTGTTTCACCCACTTCCAACACACCTAAAGCTGCTCTGACCTCAGCGTTTCAATCAAAATCCATTTTGCTAGAGTACAGAGCCAAACAATGAATGTGTGTGGAATTGAAAATGCAGCTGTGTTTTATAGATTATATTTCTCTCTTTTTCCTGCCAGAACGATGTTGGAGGTCAGAGAGTGCTAGTGAACAAGTGGAGTACCTTCGTAAAAGCCAGACTGGTCTGCTCTGTCCCGGGACCTCACGGCATCGACACACACTTCAACCAGCTGGGTGAGATGCACACAAATATCTTTTGTACATACTCTCGTCCTAATTTAACATGCATTCTTGGACAGAAAAAATGCATAAAAGCACACATTCACGCATTTTACTACAAAGAAACACACGTTCTAAAGGGGATTCTTTTTTTAACATAAAACAGAGGATGTTTTCTTGCTGAGGACCAAGGATGAGAGGAATCCAGATATATATGCAATCTTCAGCACCATCAGGTGAATAACCATGAAGCATGCTACTCAATGTGTATACCGGTTATACCAACACATTAACAACTCTACCTTATGTAACTGATGTCTTATTAAGCTTTCCCTTTTCTTATCATCCAGCTAGTACTTATAAAATAGAAATTGGTGAAGTCATTTGTGGAAATGTTTCCCTTTTCTCCTCCACAGTAATGTATTCCAGGGTTTTGCTGTGTGTGTGTACCGAATGGCTGACATCAGAGAAGTCTTCAACGGACCCTTTGCCCATAAAGAGGGCCCTGACTATCAGTGGGGGGCCTATGAAGGCAGGGTCCCTTATCCAAGACCAGGCGTGGTGAGTGAGGGCTTACAAAATATATCACCCTCTAACCCTGACTTTACTCAAATGCTTCGGTTTCAAAACCCTAACTGTACCTCAACCTTACTGTACTTGACCAACATATGTCCCACAATACATTCTGTTCTTCTGTTCAGAAACATTATGAAGAAACATAAGATATCCTACACTTCATATGCTGATGACACACAGTTGTACAGTACTATAGCTTCTACTGATTTCTGTCCTATTAACTGGCTGGTAAACTATATCAATGGCCAATTATTGAAAGCTTAAGTTTGAAGACAATATTAAGACATTTACATCATAGGTTCTGAATAGCGATAAGGAATTAAATACCGTAAGTCGGTACACTGAGCTGTTTTAAATGCTGACCGAACCTTTAGATAATGCATCTTACTGTAACTCAATCAACTTGAAGACATCTTATTACATAACATACATTTCACATAAATGTGTCAGATTTAGCAACAATGCAAATGTTTCATACCTTTTAAAAAACACATCTAACAGAAACTGGTCAATTCATTCATTTCAAACAGTGCAATGCTATTTTTGTAGAATACCAATAGGTAAGCTAAAGGCTTTAGCTATTAAAAAACACAGCACCAAAGACTACAGCCTCAAATACTAACATAAAATTGGCAACTTCTCAACCTTATTGCCAAAGCCTTGATTACGGTATTTATTCCTGAATGGACATGTTATGACAGAGAATGCATTAGTTCAGACCCAGCAGGCCTACTCAGAACAGAGAGGCAGGAACAATATGAAAGGTGCTAAAAGCATAAAAAATGAGATGTAGAAAGTTCCCTATCAGTAATGTTAACTACTGTATGTTGCAGTGCAGCTGTGCAGACTTCTCCTGGTTTACATCCTGACTCTCAGCGGAGCTCTGTCATGTCCTCTCAACCACATCATTGTAATCAGACTTGTGTTACACACTTACACACACAAACGGTTGCGCGTTTTATTCCGCCTCATTAACAGACTGCAGAATTGTATGGAGGAAGAAGGAATATGAATAATGTGAGAACAGAGCAGACACCTCTGTGGTTCCACTCCAATGACTCCCTGATTAACAGGAATGTCTTGGCCTGAAACAAGAGAGAGAGGAAACAGAAAAAGGGTGATGACTTAAGTTAGGCTGATGAAAAGGCACAGATGGGAAGGACAGAAGTAGATATTCATCAAAACTAATATGATGAAGAACAGCTTGTTGGATGGCTGTGGTTAAAATAGTCTCCCTCTTCTCTAGTAAAACAATTATAATGACCTTCTTTTTTTTTTTTAAGACAGAATATTTTAATTTCCTGGAGTTTTCTTTGTAACAGATTCCTATTGTTACACCCAGAAATGGAAAATAGAAGTGCAGTATGAGAGATTTTGTGGATTTATCCTCCCTGGATGTTTATTTTGGATTGTCATAGCACTGCACATTGTTTGAAAGTCTGTAATAATCTATTCTGTGATAGAAAGAATTATAGGATAGTCTGGTTTCCAAGTTTCCAGAGCTTTAATCCTACTTGGACTGAGCCATATGAAGCTTTTCTCTGCCTGCCTGTCATTCACTATAATTGTACATAGAAAAGTGGTAGGTTTGATACTTCAAACTCAAGCTTTTGGGTTGCTACCAGAATAATTGTATCCATGATGATCCATGCAGTCCTTCAAGTAACTAGATGTTTCTGACATAAAAATAAATTCCATAGTCTGTTTTAAATCAATAGAAGTGTATCATGCTGTCACAATAATCAGAGTGTCATCTGTATATTTTTCTTCATAGTTTCACGTTAATTTTTTCCCATAAAAAACATACATTGGGGCATTAGAGCTGCTGTTAATGGGGCTTAAGACCATTTATAGCATGTCATCCCCTTTCATTTTAGAATAAAGGCACTGGTTACCCAAAACAAAAAAAGACTTACATTTAATTAAAATATACTTCATCCATTACCTCATTGTGTCAGAATTCAACTATCTGTCAAGGGAGTGTCCATTTTGGTGTTTGAGGCTTCTGCTAACTTATTTTTGCCAAATCATGCTCGTTTCTTCAACTGTACATTTTTAGTAGGAACTAAATGATACTTTATTGGTACCTAATTTATGCGGTACGTCAAAATAATACTGTAAACCATGGGCTGTATTGAAGTTTTACAGAAAAGTGATTTTCCTGCATTCTGGTCTGACATTGAAAGATTTCAGAAGCTTAAAACCTCAATTTGAAAGGTTGATATAGAAATAAGTCCCATTCCATGATTTGAACCTCAGCTCTTCTTATGGTCTGTTTCATGCAAACACAGTCACATATACAGTAATAATGGGCGTGAATAGAAGTCTGCCAAATATGCTCACCTCTCCTCGCTCGCATTAATCCTAACTTGGCTCACTGTTGGTGATTGAAAGCAGTTGACTTGCTACAGCAAAGTTTGCATGAGTTGACAAGAGATTTTGGAGCTGGCCCAGTTTTACGTGCTGTAAAAACAGATGAACACAGTATTTCAGTGAGCCGTTTAAAACGCTGACATATCAATGAATTGTATTGGCAGCTGCACAAGTATGAGTGATGGGGAAATCTTTCATAAATAAAATAGTGTCTTGCGTTCTGAAAGATATGTGAAAGTATGTTTTTTTTCTACATGTTAAAATTAGTTATATTTATTTTAGCTTGAAGCTTACCAGAAGATGAGGTAAAGGTATGCTTGGATCACATTTTGAGTTATAGCTGAACTTCACAATTTATCGGCTACTAAATCAAAACATACTGTTAAGTCAGCATGTTTTGGAGTTGGATTTGCCTACACATTCTGCAGCCTCTGTAATAAATTTTAATTGAAGCCATTTAGTAAGTCGTACTCGGAGGAATGTCATACATCAATAGTTTGTTCGGATTCCAGTCTAAGGTCCCAGCATAGTTCAGATCCACCCTCTGAAATAGAAACCAGGCCATTATAGACCTATTTTCGATCAGTAACTGTTGTGATAAGCAGAAATATCAATAATACAGTATGGAAGTCTGGAATAGCAATATCAGGGAATTCTTTCCTGTGTTTAGACTATATTGTACCCTTTTCTTATTTAATTTATGCTTTTTTTGTCAGACTTTGACATATGCTTTCATTTAAGTCAGTCACTGCTGCTGTATTACTATCTTATTCACATATGTTTGTCATCCCAGCCCCAAGATGATAACATTACCAGTTTGCCAGGCCCTAAAGCAACTTCTAAATATTTCAAAGCTTAAATGCAATGATTATTCCCAACAGAGCTTCTAATCGGATTTTGAAGCTCATTGTTACATTCAGGTGACACTATGAGTAAAATGAACCCCAAAAGCACCTTTGTATTGTCCCCTTTTGTGCTATTTTGCCCAATAAGCCTACATTTGAGTCTTGTAACCTGGCCTTCGCCCCATTGCTGCCCTTATTGATCTTAATTGTACAAAACTGCAAAGCTTCAGTTGAAACACAGGTAATATGGTTTGCGTACATGCCTTTATTTGGACTGTGTTCAACCGTCTTGATTATTTGATTGATACAGTATCTCTGCCAAGAACCAGCACATTCATTTTGTAATTACAGTGACACGAATGGGAGAGTTTTTACCTAACAGCACACTCTGCCTCTATAAAGCTGGTTCCAAACCAAGGGTTTTACAACTATGGTTCTGAACTTTCATCCAAAGTTTTCAGGCACAATAAAAGTGCTAATGAGGGTTCATTGAGAAGTCTTTAAGACCATAATTATGCCACATTGCTTTTGGAAACACACCTAAAGTGGTGGAACATGGTGGGAATTAAAGTCGGGATGGAAAACGGACAGAAATAGGCTTTCTCATTATTAATTAGCCAAGGATTTTGCCAACATCTTTAATAACCATCTCCTTTGTTTCTCCACATGTTTCCCCCCTCCAGTGCCCTAGTAAAATCACCAACCAGCCCGGCAGAGAGTTTGGCAGCACAAAGGACTTCCCTGATTCAGTGCTGCAGTTTGCCCGCAGCCACCCATTGATGTGGCGGCCGGTGTTTCCTGCTCTGCGTCAGCCTGTGCTCGTAAAGGCCAACTTGCCTTACAAGCTGAAACAAATCGTGGTTGACCGGGTCGACGCGGAGGACGGGCAGTATGATGTAATGTTCATTGGCACAGGTAATATTGATGTGAATTTAATATTAAAAATATTACATTTATATGTTTTATTCCCTTTCTTTAACTTTGTCATTTATCGGTTTGTGTCTTTCAGACGTTGGCACAGTATTAAAGGTCATTGCCCTACACAGTGGGAACAGCCTGGAGACAGAGGAGGTCACACTGGAGGAGCTACAAGTCTTTAAAGTAAGTTTTACTCTGTCAGGTATCAATATTGCTCTCTGTTATCTGACTCATTGTTATATATTATATTCATCGTATCAATGAAACCCTCTTTGTAGTCGGATAAGGATACATTAAGATGGCTCTCAAGAAAATCTGTTTCCTCCCTTTGCTTTAACAGTAATTCTACTCTTGAGCTTGTCACTTTTCTTATTGTAAGCTTCTTCACACGTAAAAGTTCAATTATTTTTAATTATTGCAGGTGCCAACTCCAATAACATCGATGGACATATCCGCGAAAAGGGTAAGAGAAGATTACTATTATTAATGCATCTAACCGATTCTATGATCAACATCATGCCTTACTCCCTTTCTTCTGTTCTCATTATTTCCAACAGCAAGCCCTGTATGTGGGCTCCCCAGCAGGCGTAGCGCAGGTGAAGCTGCACCGCTGTGAGACTTATGGGAATGCCTGTGCCGAGTGCTGCCTGGCCAGAGACCCTTACTGCGCCTGGGACGGATCAGTGTGTGCCCGCTACACGCCCAACAGCAAACGGCGCTACCGCAGACAGGACATCAGGCACGGAAACCCTGTGCTGCAGTGTGTGGATCAGAATCTGAGTGGTAAACAACTAAACCCTTTATTTTTTAGCCTTCATGTTTGTTATGAACAACTACTTTTTAATTGATTGCAGTGACAATCTGGACAGCACCTGGTCAAGTTTTAGTACCTTGTAAAAACTTTGGGCTGCCAGCTTCTACAAAAGTATGTTTTTATACAAATTAAACAAATAATATGCACTGTTTTACCTAGCAAGCTTTAAAAGGGGAAGATAAAAAAAGAAACGTTTTGTGTGTGTGTGTGCGAACTTATAGATTGACAGATAAGCAGAAACTGAGGTTATCTAAAGCCATCAGCGATCATATGAAAAGAGCAAACAAATAGGGAAAGAAACACTGTGGCTAGACAGGGATGTTTGCTCACCTGACGGAAGGTATGGTGGAGGCGAGGTGATGACATACTTCTTCAAGGCCTTTGGATGAACCCGCATTTTATAACGTTTCTTTGTGCCAAGGTGTCAAGTTGTTGCAGGAGTCAAACTCCCTGAGGCCTGTGTTTTCTTTGCTAGGATTGAAATATCCTCCCAACTTGAGACGTCTGCTATTTGTTAGAGTTTTATTCTAAATAACGAGCAAACTTTTCACAAGGTACTGGCAAAGACACTGCGATTTTTAACAAAATTTGTTTTCAAATCACTTTTATATCAACCGACATCCTCAGTATTTCCTGTATTTTTGCCATTTAGATTAAAGCTTTCTTTGTTGCCAGTGCGTTGAAAGTAGCATTTTGGACTGACTAAACTGGCTACAATGTTTTTGTTATTCAAAACAATCCCTCTTTCATCCAGAAGACCTTGACGTGACAGAAGACAGAGTGGTGTATGGGACAGAGAACAACAGCACCTTCCTGGAGTGTGTTCCTCGCTCTCCACAGGCCACAGTTAGCTGGCTTGTCCAACGTGATGACCGCAAGGAGGAGGTAAGATTATAATTAAATATATAACATCAACACCAATATTGTGATGATAAAATACCACCTTATCCCAATTTATATATGATGGGAAGAAGGTTGGTTAGAATTTGGAGACAGATGAGGGAAGGAATGACATTTCTGGCCAACGGTGGCTGAAGTAACTGCCTTTAACTGCCGGACTAAATGTATTTTACTGCGGGAGTTTCTGCCTTTAAAAGTGAGATGTGAATTTGGCACATGGTTGACACATTTGACAGCCATTTGACATACGGTTGAAATTAAGCAATTATATTTCAAAGGAAAATGCACAAGTACTCTTTCTCTTAGATAAACAGTGAATTCCAAAATTGACCACCGAAATCTGAAGTGTCACTCAATGTCTGCCTGTCACTGTGACTTAAACAGTGTTGCAAAGTCATTTAGAGCACTACTTAGAAAAGTATTTTTCCGTGTGTGCCCACACCCACAGTAATCGTTCATTTGTTGGAGAGTTTGTTTCTCCAAGCTCAACCGAGCATCTCGGTCAGCCGTGCGAGCATTAAGGCATTACCACCCCTATCCATTTCCCTGCAAATAAACATTTGGCTGCCACTTCAGCTGACAAGGCTGCCATATTTGTGTTGGCACAGAGGGATAGTTTGACAAGCAGAGGGATGGAAGCCGAAGAGCGGGGAGGTAAAAAGAGAAAAAATAATCAAAAATGAATAGAGGAGAGACTTTGGGTTGAGGTAGGTAAAGAAAGAAAGAGAGAATGAGAGAAAAGAAAAAGGCGGAGAAAAAGTACAAAAGAGCCCTTCTTCTGTCATGCTTCAAATTGGATTACGCTCTTTGCCCACATATTCCAGATTGCATCTACCCAAAAAAGACGTCTACGATGAATAAAGATGCTATAGTCTCATGAAAACTATAAAGGCTTTGAGTGGCGTAAACTCCCATTTTTAGCCCTTAGACATTTAAAATCTTTGCATTTATAGTCAAAAGGTTATTTAACTTTGTTTAAACACTGCAAAAGCTAATTTGTTGTTTAGGAGTCGCCATTCATAGACTCTTGGCAAAATAATCACATTGATCACTGTCCAATCTGAAATACAATTGTAGTTTTCAATTTTAAAGGTCCCATGACATGGCCATTTCTACTGATCATAATTCCATTGTTGAGGCCTATTAGAATACATTGACATTGTGCAATGTTCCAAAATCACATTGGTTTCTCATACAGCATCTCTGTATAGTATGTGTATTCACTCTCTGTCCTACACGCCTTGTTAGAGCTCCTGCCCCCCCCCTCCCTATTAGCCCACTTTGCTCTGATTGGTCAGCGCGCCCGCTCTGTTCTGATTAGTCAACCACCGTTACAGCGGAACATCAGTGATTATGTTTAACAATGGCATTTGTAAGCAACCAGAAAATGACACCAGTAATGACAAACAGATGAGAATGCTGCGTGGGGTCCAGCTTTCGTGTTGGCGGGGCTCACTGCTTCGCCCTGTGGGGCTCGAGGAGCGGACAGTGTGAGCTGGATTACTGGTGTTGTTTCCTGGTTGCTGCGTGGGGTCTGAGACAGCGAGACACCGCGGAGCTCGGACCCCCTTGTTATGCGATCGGCTCTCGCGATCGGCATTTTTAGAGAGCACCGATCGATCGGCAGAGAGTGAGTATCGGCCAATATCGATCGGAGCATCCCTAAAAAATAAGTTAGCCGCAGACGTTTCTAATCAAGTCATGTAGCTAACAGTAGCTCACAGTAATTAGCTAGGAAGCTACAGCTAATGAAATTAGCTAGAGACTTGATTTTCAGTCAGCAGAAATTGTCACGATCTGTCTGTGTTTTGTTTTGTCTAGATCTGTCTTTGGTTTTCTTTCTGCGTTGTGTCTTGTCTAGATCTGTCTTTGGTTTTCTGTCTGCGTTGTGTTTTGTCTTGTTTAGATCTGTCTGTGGTTCCCTGTCGTTAGTTTCCCTGGTGTGTCTAATTTACCCGATTGTGTTCACCTGGTGTCCCTGTGTTTTCTCTTCCCTCCTCACCTGTGTCTTGTTTGTATGATTAGTCTTGTGTGTATTTAAGTTCTGGTTTTTCTGTCTGTCTTTGTCGGTTCGTCTTGTGTTATGACTTGGTCTGCGGTGAGTGTTCTGTTCAGTCTTTGTTCATAGTTTAGCCTTGAAATAAAGGCCTTATTTTTGTCACTTTAATCTGCATTTGGGTCCTGCTTCCTACACACATCGTAACAATAACACACAAGGGGACAGGTAATAACCAGAAAAGCATATGATGGGACCTATAAGAAAAAAATGATTCCCCAAAATCTTAATTCCGCTGTGTATATATTTCATGTACAGTATAGGAGGTACATTTTGACACATTATCCCTCTGCCTCACTCAGGTAAAGCTGGATGACCGTGTGATGTCTACAGAGCAGGGCCTCCTGTTTCGTCGCCTCTCCCGCCAGGATGAAGGCGTGTACATCTGTCGCTCCACAGAGCACGGCTTCACACAGACCCTGGCCCGCCTCAGCCTCGAAGTCCTCCAGGGGGACACTGTGGATGAGCTCATGGCACGAGACAACGCCGGCCTCTCTGATGCGTACAAAGACCGGTCCACAGGAAGCTACCGAGCATGGATGCCTTGTAGCACATACAGCAGGGGCGGCTCATCAAGCCAAATCGGCCAATCGCGTACATGGTTCAAGGATATCATGCAGCTGATTGGGCCGTCCAACCTGCCCCACATTGAGGAGTACTGTGAGAGGATGTGGTGCAACGACAAACTGAGGAGGAAACACAAAAGCATGCTGGAGAAAAACCGCCAAGCGCAGGAGAGCGCCAGGAAGGCTCGTAGCAAGAGCTCCGGCGAACGCAACCGGACGCCGAGGGACCTTAGCGCATGGGAGGAGTAACTGAAAGAAAGTGAGCAGGGCATGAAGTAGGAGAAAATGAAAGACAAAAAAAGGGACAAAGATTGCAGCAAAGGACAGGATAATACGGGCAGCAAAAAGGCCAGCATCAACTCCTATTTGTGGAAACTCTAGCACTGAGATGTGTATTGTAACGACTCGGAAGTGTTTGGTTTTCTGGAATGATGGCACAAAAAGAGACTGTTACTGAACAGGTTGTTATTGTGAATAGGAGTGGATGTTTTTCTTTAAATCTTGATATCCATGGACTTCTCCTGCTTTCACAAGTTTGCCCTTGTATACTTTCACGCTTTGAAATGACAGCTTTCATTTTATCAAGTCAAATAAGACCTTCGCAAAGACAGACAACGCATGCCTTTGGAGCAACTCTCTGATGAATTGTGTTAGATCTTGGCAAAGTGCTTCAAAAGAGAGGAACATTTACATACTTTGCATGCTTGGAGTATAGCAAGCCTGTCAAGGTCAGCTCTGAGACACAGACACATACACTTATTTTCCATTTGTTGTTTTCGCATTTCTCACAAGGCAATCACTGGATTCATCTCTTTCTCAATTGGTATTTAAGTGACCACGTTTTTTGCCCTGCTCTGCACTTGGCTTTTTAAAAAGGAAATATTCATGTTTGACTTCAGCCAAGAAATAACTTGGTTTGCAGTGTATTAGTTGCAGCTAATGCTCCCAGGGTAAGACATCTGCCGCATTTTAAATGCAATGTATGCTATGGCTCGACTTGCCCTTTTTTATTGTGGCAAAAGTTGTGGATAGCACCTGGTACTGTTTTTGGTTGCGCCTTGGTTGAGGGTCCAAGTGAACTGAACCATTATTAGAAGGCAAAGTTAAAACATTGGGAAGAGTCATTAGTTTGGTTTCATTTCAAATGTGTTCCTTTGTTTTGTTTGCCAATTGATCCAGCAAGAGTGGAACAAAGCACTATTTCGCGTTGAAGAAGAGGTTGTGATCATTTGAGGAACAGAAAATTGAGAAAAGCATCCATTACCAAAAATGAGTCAAGTCGAGCCAAACCATGCAGTTACAATTAGGCATTTCTGTATCTGATCTCTCCACTGTACATGCACACACACAAACACACTCTTACATAAACGGAAAGCCCACTCACCCATCACACTGAATGCATAAACTCAACTAGCTCAAACTGGAAGCTACCATGAGACGACTGTTGATGGTTCAACAGATTAAAGGCACATTGCTTTATTTTTAGTGTTGTGGGTTGAACTTTCCATTAAAACCAGCTAAAGATCAAGATTCCTCCCTCACGACCCTTAAAGGGATATTTCACAGTGGTATACTTTCACGCTTTTGGGCACATACCATAACATCTCCAGGAATGTACCAAATGGCCACAGTCGATCGCTGATAGTTGCTTCCCTGGGATTACTTATAGATTGAACCTCAGCTCAATGAAACTCAATTGGGATACAAGCACCAATTTAGAGTGCACATATTATTGTTCAAAACGTTATGTCTTGGGTAAGTGTCATTTTCAAATATATTTTTCTAAAGACGGACCTCTTTGTCCTAGCCTCACCTCACACTTCCATCGTCCCCTGAACTCATGTTCCCACAGTTCCTCTGTATGCTGTAGCTCGCTACTGACAAAAGAGGGAACAAAAGAAGGGGTCAGCTCTAATGGCTGACTCCTCTTGTGCTTTCTGCTTTGTAAACACTGGTTTTATGACGGTTCATGGTTTGAACACATGATACTCCACATTGTTATTCACTTCAGGTTTTGTTGTTAAAATATACTGTAACTTTGATCGTAATAAAAAAAAAAGGTTTTCTTTCACAAGGGACAGGGCCATGGAGTTAGGGTTAGGGTTAGCATGGAATCAACTCTAATTTGTAAAAACAAGATAAAAAAAAAAGAGAGGAGAACAATGTAAGACAGGTCGCAAGGTTATAAGATAAATGCCAAGCTTCAATTTCAGTAAGGGCTGTGTGTAGAAGATTGAAATACATGTTAAGAGTTACTTTCAAAACTCACCCATGTAACACTTATAAATATATTAATTGCGGCTTTGCAGGTGCATCTCACATTGAGCAGCTCCTCCTGGCCACATCAATGAGGGCGAGTGGAGAGTTGTGAGAATGATGGGTTGGATATAGTTCACAGAACAAACAAAGTGTGTCTGTAATATGTCTTTGGTTCAAAGTTACCAGATGATCCCTTGGAACTTTGTCCCAATACAAGTTGATGTACGTAAGCAATCAAAGCTGATATTATCCACATTTATACTTTCATTAATCAAATGTTGGCTGTCAAGCGGTGAAGTAAGCAGTTTCCAAGTATGAACTGGATAAACGTAGCATTCTTAAAGGATCTATTTAAAGACATATAAAGAAACACAAACAGATGTTCACAAAAAGCTGAGAAGAATGGAGGACCTACACCAATATGTACGCTGGAGGGTAAAGTCCCTGTAATGTGTACATATTAAAGATCGCATAGATATCCTGGGAGCCCTCTCACTGTTTAAAATTATCCAGGAAACAACATTAACACTAGTGAACTCGGTGACCCTTTGTAACCTTCATGGCGTGTGAATGGCTCCTGAGAGAAAAATAAAAGGGAGAGTCGGTAATTGAAAAGAACAAAGGGGAGAGATCTTCAAAAAGTATGGTACTTTGAGCATCTTGTGAAGGCATTATTTGCCTTTATAAAATACTATTACCTTTTCAAAGCCTGTTTCAAAAAAATTCATCAGTATAAAGTGAGTATTTAAGAACAAAATCCCCAGTTTGTACAGCACTCTTAAACACACATTTTACTCTAGCAACGTTTATTTTCTTAGTTAGAGGATTGGGAAACCGGCTATTAGAGTCCACTTATGGTGTTTCCTTTAAAAATATTGCATATTGCTTCTGATGTATATCTATACCGGGGGGAAAAGTGTTAGAGGGGCAGGAGCATGGTTTGCACGGAACCAAGAGACAGTTAGCAGGGTAAAAAGAGATACAAATGTGTTTTATGCTGTAGATAACCTTCTTGAAAGTTTGTTTTCTAATCAAATTGTCACTTAAATTTAGATTTTAGTCTTGTCATGATTTTGGTGAAAAGAGCTACACAATTATTTTGTCTGTTCTGCTCTTGTCTATAAAAAATATGTTTTTGATGTGGTGGCATCATTGTGACAACCCCTGCTTTACTCCTTCCTCCCTGTTGTGTGTGTGTGTGTGGGGGGG